TCACCATCGCCAACAGTAAAGCTCGCAGCATACCTGAGAATGTCAGGTCTCTTCATAGCGACATGTTTAGCAGATGTCCACACGTGAAACAATGTCGAATCACGAACGAACAAATGGTCAATGGCAAAGGCATGACGAGTCTCCGAGCATTCACCTTCATCCTTTGCGTATGTTGCAAGAACATGGTCAGCAACTCGTACTAGCAGATGACACACCTGACATTCGTGAGTCTTGTGGTCAGCCGATCCGTTAAGACTCTTTGCAACGTGAAACCATCTCTCGTAAAGGGAATTCATTTCCTAGAATGCGAAGACACGAGGCAACTGATCAATACTGTATCGGGTGAAGGAATGACTCGACTGCATGTCAAGCATGCATATTTATACAAGTCAGAATGGGGTGGGTTGAAAATGCAAAGTTGTCAACCAATCACCATCAAGCCCGCCAAAAACAGATGATGTAACCTTGACATGATTGATCTTGTCATGAATGACGCATTCATTGATGGTGTTCACATGAGATCACCCTGGTTCATCTTTCCCAATTCCATTCTTTTCACATCCTGCAACCCATTCTCCACTAGTAGTAGCAGTGGGGATACTAGAGTCCGAAGAGGCAAGGCAGCACTCTTCCGTGGACGTACTACTCGACACAACACCACCCATACTTGTTCTTTAGAAGTTTTTTTTTTTAAATTTGTATCATGAGGTATTGACGTAGAAAGTAGTATAGGATAGTATAGGATAGAATAAGAATGAATGATCAGCTGTGTGATAAAGAAGGCAGTTCATTAAAGACTTCTTGGAAGGTCTCTACCAGCTGATCGTCTTGTTGGACGACGACACTGCATAATGATGTGAAGCTCTCAGTCAGCTGTTTCAGCTCCGTGATAGAAAGTGCCATGTGTGCGTCCAGAGCACGATGAAAACATCTGGGTTCCACGTTGATGCAGATGATTGGAGCAACAGCAAGACGTACCTTCATCACTTGCTCGTCAGTGTCGAGGGAGACTGCCCCGGGGTAGATGAATACATCTTGTTCCACATCCAGTTCAAACGAGCTGGTCGGGACTAGCTTGTTTTCACCGTTGATGTACACCCGACATTGACCGTCGGACGAACGTGATGTATAGAAGTTGGTTATGATCTTCTCCACACGTCCACTTCGGAGAGTGTCACGGAGCGATGGACAAGTCTTGATCAAGTTCGTAATGATGAACTCAGTGGACTCGTTCAGTTCGATGTAAACTTGTCCTTGAGCATCTTTGCGAGCTGTTGCCGTACTACCACAGGCTGGCAGAGCTCCCGAAGGGAAGTACATCTTATATCCAGGCTTGTAGAAGGATTTACCAGATAACTTGTAGGGCAGCTGCATGTCCTCCTGAAACCCATCCACCACAATCTCTTTGTGGAGCTTGGTAGGAGCAGGTGATGCATAGCGACGCTTAGCCGGTACTGGATTCGAAGAGAGCACAACTCGAGGAGGGTCAGCAGGAAGAGCGGAATTCTTCTTCATCCTTCGCTCGTATAGGGAAGCCATCTTCTAGGAAGTGAAGTCAGGACAACTCGTCAGCACTGTATTCGATGAACGAATGACTCAACTGCAGACAATCATTCGTTTATACGAGCCAGAGAGGTATGTGGATTGAAATGATAAGATATGTGTCAACCAATCAAGCCCGCCAAAAACATTTCACCAATCAGCATCAAGCCCGCCAAAAACATTTGACCAATCAGCATCGTAATGGGGCCGTTCTCGGCACTTGTGCCAGTGGTTGTGAGACTTATCCACTCACCCCCACCGTTAGGCGCTGCATCTGCCGCTAGGATTTACCGGGTGTTAGCGGCCGTCGTGAGTTCCCTTCGGGAACGGACACGATAATTTACTTTTTTTTAATCAGCATCGTGCCCGCCAAAATCATATCTCATTATAAAGATTCCTTACATGATACCGCCACCTTGGTGAATTGATACAGTATGGAAAGAAGATCACAGTCAAACGTGTGCATGTTCTGGATCACGTGATCAAGTGAATAGATTTCCCAGCAATAAGCATCAATCAATGATGTCATAAGAGATATATCAGATTGAGATAAAAGCAGCAAATTCGAACGCAACATGGACAATTGCAATGAAGACACCATCCTAGTCGACTCCATGAGATGCAGTACGTATAGGAGTGGAAAATGCTGAGGAAGAGGTTTCATGATTCGACTGAACCTCAACCAGGCTACATTGCTATGAGGTAAGTAGGAATACAGTTTACGTAATGCATCCACATTCGTATCGTATACTATACAGGATAATGCTATAGCATAATTTATACTCTTGTACAAACAGGACTTCTTCATCGCACGTATCTGCTCTCGAAGAGGGTGTACACGAAGCTGATCGGATAAGAGTTCAGTTTTCGAAAGAAAATGCAAAAGATGACGATCCACACCACATAACCGCTCATGCGCAGCGTAAGGCTTCTTCATCAAACTACATCTCTGATGCACATCAACTTCAGGTAAGTAAACCACATCCATGACAAGTCCACAAGAAGAACATACGTATCTTCCTTCATGAACAACATGATCAAGATGATGACACTGCTTTTCCTTCCCTTCTTGCTCTTCTTCTTCTTCTCCTCCTTCTTGTTCTTCTTCTTCTTCTTGTTCTTCTTCTTCTTCACGAAGTCTCTTTTCACGTACATAGGCACGTAAGATCTCTAATTCAGAATCCATCTTCACCCCACACCATCATCTTCATAGTGAAACATTATCCATCAATATATCTACTTTTATACCCACTCCTATCCGGGGATAATAGCAAAATACTCCTGAAAAAATAAATAAAAAATGAACAGAATAAAGATTAACAATGACGATAAGTGTGCCTTATTCAACCCAAAGGTCAAAGGTCAAACCCTGGGGGAGTCCCGGGGTCAGACCAAGCACGACCGACACAGTGTGCCTTATTTGGCCCAAAGGTCAAAGCAATAGAAGAAAGGCATTCACATCTCAATCTGATATCATAGTCGAAAGATTCCAAACCCGAACAAAAAAGACTCACCATGACGGGGGCGTCTTTCCGCTTTCGAAACACATCGTGTTCTCCAAGGTCGTCACCTCCCCGTGGCGTGACCCCTTGGTCTTGTTTGAGACGTCTAGACGTAGCCTTGTTTACAAAGGTCATCGCGGCGTGAACTTTGACCTTGAGGTGAAGTAGTCTCAACCTGCAGTTTCATTATCGACTCCTTCTTGCAGTGTGAAGAAGCTAAAATGGCGTGGACATTTTCTGAGACGTGCAGAGCAGAGAAATGGTATTTATTTTCATGCGATAATGAAGAGTTCTCAATCCGTCGCCTCAGTGCTAGCAAGACAACCAGGGATCTTGACCCGATGATAGCACATCCCAGAAGATTCGATATGTCACCACTCACTGCTGCTGAGTATATTATCTGCAGGGTCACCAGTCTGATCTTGAATGTGAAGAATAGGAAACAGCACCTTCCTAAAATCGTCATCGGTGGTGTGGAGGACTACGGAACTATTAGTGAGACTGATGATGGTGTCATACTGCGAAGGTGGACTGATGGTAGACACTCATTCTACAAGCTTAGTGACATGCGTGACGAACCGTGCTCTCAACACATCATCGACCTCTTCGCTGATGCAACCTATTTGGATTCCAGCGACGTAATGCAACTTGTCAAGGAGGTGAACGAAAAATGAAGTCTCTCGAGTTGATCGTGTGCGTGTACGACGTAGTACCAAGGCCGTTCAACTCCGTGCCGTTGCAACAAGAGTAACGCGGATTCGTGTGCGAGTTGGTACGATCGACATCGGCGACGATGGATTTATCTCCAAATTACCCGAGTCGACTGTTGACACGATGGCGGTGCAAAGGAGGTCGTCGACTGACAGTTCCATTGCTGACTGGGTGGAACCATTGGTGCACATCAGAGCGTCCGACAACTCCACCTCGTACTGCGTGTCACGGAAGAGATCATGGGTGAATCCATCCTCACACGTATTCGAAGAGTAAACTTTGTGGTCTCTCATCCAATACCAGCTTGATGAAATCAGGACAACAAGAACTGAATTGTACTACCTTTCTCCTCCACTCCATTGCGATATTCACTGTTCGTTCCATTATTCTTTGTAATGACATGTATCGTATCTATCAAGAACTGACCTTTCTGACGTGTGTGCGAGCAGGACCATTTTTGAAAAATTGCATGGGGAGGTGGGGTAGGTCACGGAAAAAACTTCATGATAAACACCATATTCAACATTCTACTTTTTATACCCACTCCCATCCGGGGCAAGGTGGCCCAAAAAAGTGAGATTCAAACCCACATGTGCACAACACATATTTTCAATAATACCCCATTTTTTGGGGTCAGGGCACCCCCTGGCACATATTTTTATCCGCAAAAAAACCGGGCCAAAAATAATTTTCACCGCAAAAATGGGGTACTATTAGTACCCCATTTTTCAATAATACCCCATTTTTTGGGACCCGGGCGCCCCCTGGCCCAGAACCCGCTCGTACATTCCTACTGATATACATGTAATTATATTGTAGGATCTGCAGGCATCTACTGGACATATACGTGCACATCGAGGCACCGATGATGTCAATGATAGAGATAATAATTATTTGACACGGTACTGTCACATGCAGTACATGGGGATGGCCTGAACTGTTTCTGTATTACATTATGCAGCCAAGTCACCCATCACACATCAGCTGGAGCGCACTACGGAAAGAACAAAAAACATGTTTTACTGGGGGTCTTGCCTGGTGGCAAGAACAAGAAGACACAGTCACAGAAGCTAATGCTGCACTGCCTAAGAAGAATATTGAGAAGCAAGCGGCTATCCATCCACCAGCCGCATGCCACAGGCACAGGTCAGGAAGATGATAAAACTACTCGTATCCTATAAGAAAGGTCAAAAGGAGAGCACTTGCAAGTGAAGGAGAGGAATTGAAACAGAGAAATGAGCATGAAGAGTGACAGTAAGAGTGCATGTGTGTGATAGCCAAACATTGCTTCTTGATTCATCTGCACACACTGGTCTGCACACACTGGTCTCCTTAGCAGAGGGGAGGTGTTGTGTACACTATTTGAGGCTACCTAAAACTTACAGGCCATGCGCTGCTCCACACACGCATCAACCAAACGTTCAGGTCTAATGAGAATAAAAATTATAGTAGCTACTTCACAGCAATCGAGTGTGGAGGGTAGGTAACACATGCAAGATTCGGGGGGGGGGGGGAGGGAGGGAGGGGGGACAGTTCAAATATAAAAATAGCCTATCTTCGTGTCCAGCACTGCAGCCTGCAGAGATGGAAGACAACAACAACAACAACTGTTAAACTGCCATGAGGGAGGAGGCTCCGTGACACCTTTGTTTCACACAGAACGAGCTAGACCTTATGCACGTTGTCCGGATGTATGAAGTTCTGTACAGTAGATATTGGTTATAACGTGCCCTTCATCACTTTGGATAGAACTAATGACTAGATAGATCCTCAACTCGGATCGTGAGCCAATTAAATATTATGGTGAAAAAGGAGAAGGACAAAATGTTACGAGTTATGACTAACTGTCCACCAACGTAACCAGATTGTATACAGTCAGCGAGTGCGACAAAATGGCACAACACTGACAAGGAGTACTGAGACATTCGGCGACCTGACACCTAGCTCCAACACTTCTCCAAGGCGCAAACCAACAACCTTCCAACTTGGAAGGCTCAGGTTCGGAAAAGTCCAAGAGGGGAAGGAAAGCGCCATTTTGTCGCACTCGCTGACTGTATAAGATCTGGTTACGTTGGTGGACAGTTAGTCATAACTCGTAACATTTTTGTCCTTCTCCTTTTTCACCATAAGGCCACCCTTTCTTTTTTCGTTGTTTAACGTCCGCGCCCGCGTACCTTCTTGCCTCCGACCGGAAAAAAAAACAAGAAAGTAGTAGTACCAATAATATGCGAAGTTGTAAATACATGATTGTGTAGTTTCACAGTGTGCCGATCATGCCCTTAAACTTATAATCTTGCCTCCCGGGGATCCCGGGCATGCCTTTGTCTTGTGTTCTTTTTCTTTTTTTGTTGGCTTTTAAATATCGTACGGTGTGTGCCCTAGTAAAAATCCAGATGTAATGAATTCATGACATGCTAACTCCATGGCAGTCCATGCTATGTACCTGTTTTGTTGGATTCATCAGGCATGTGCTCCAATGTACCATCAAAGAGTGTTGTTCTATGCCTGCAAGTGCCGTTAGACCCAGAAATATTGTATATATCACATGCTTTACTGGTCAAAATGTTTGATTGGGGTTTCCAGTTTTTGGAATGGGCTTTTGTTTTTTTTCCGCCCTCCCGCGTACCTTTTCGCGAAAAAAAGGACGTTAAACAATGAATTAACAAAGGGTGGCCTAATAGATAGATCTTTGTCGGAATTTTGTTCCGTATGAAAGTGTAATGCCTTCAGGGCCCATTTCTGAGTGGAAGTAGCGCGTAAGCATAAAAAGGTCCTGCATGTTCAACACCCAACCGTTCTACAGGATTCCGTTCATCTATAGAACGTGCATAAAGGCCGATTCACAAGACAACTTTCTGCGACGCGACACGCGATTTGCAACAGTTGCGACAAGAAACTGCCTGTCGCGTGCAGTCGCAAGGCACCTGTCGCAGAGGTCGAAGAAAGTTCAACTTTTGCTACATGCGATGCGCGACATACACAAATGGAGTACAGTTTCTACCCTGGGTAGAACTAGTGCATAAGGATGTCACAAACATGAAAAAGAGTGTGAACCGTGTGTCGCTGATGCAGCTCGTCGCAGGTGTCGTAAGTCGCATGTCGCGTCGCAAGAAGTTGTATTGTGAGTCGGCCTTAAGGCTTATTGGGTCGGGACTTTGGTTAGAGTCTCGACGAGATGTCTTACTCTTAGATTGGACCCATTTACACAAATCAGTGTTGTTTGATTCTTATTGATCTCGAGATCGCACTGCCCCAAATTAAAAAGCAAACTACATGCATCCCAAAAATATATATTTGCAGAAGTAGCATGTGCTTGATAGTACCCACACTGGAGTGTGACGTAGCATGTGCTTGATAGTACCCACACTGGAGTGTGAAGTAGCATGTGCTTGATAGTACCCACACTGGAGTGTGAAGTAGCATGTGCTTGATAGTACCCACACTGGAGTGTGAAGTAGCATGTGCTTGATAGTACCCACACTGGAGTGTGAAGTAGCATGTGCTTGATAGTACCCACACTGGAGTGTGAAGTAGCATGTGCTTGATAGTACCCACACTGGAGTGTGAAGTAGCATGTGCTTGATAGTACCCACACTGGAGTGTGAAGTAGCATGTGCTTGATAGTACCCACACTGGAGTGTGAAGTAGCATGTGCTTGATAGTACCAAGAGTACATAACCCAAGAGTGTGCAACTCCAGCTATGGGGTCTGCGACGGCAGAACTTCACATCACGTGATGAACCCGTGCACTCTAGTGCATGATAGATACTGGGTTGTACGCAGCCCAGCTTTGGGTACAACTCTCTTGTGGTCACTTTGCACTGTTTGCCAGCATAACCTTTTGAACCATGTCACGTGATGTGAAGTTCTGCCGTCGCAGCACAGCATAGAGGTTGTGCAGGCAGTTGCACACTCTTGGTTATGTACTCTTGATAGTACCCACACTGGAGTGTGAAGTAGCATGTGCTTGATAGTACCCACACTGGAGTGTGAAGTAGCATGTGCTTGATAGTACCCACACTGGAGTGTGAAGTAGCATGTGCTTGATAGTACCCACACTGGAGTGTGAAGTAGCATGTGCTTGATAGTACCCACACTGGAGTGTGAAGTAGCATGTGCTTGATAGTACCCACACTGGAGCGTGAACCTAAATGCACTCACGTCTGGCAAAATACCAGGTCTACATAGATTCTCTACATTGAGACATGACGTACACCCCATCTGCCGCTGAACGTGCTTGTCCATGCATACCACTTTAGACTGAGCTGCATTCAGAACACACTTGACCAGGATTCCCTCCAGTTTCTGTTCAATTTTCTGTTCAATTTATGTCCTCCCCCTCTACACCATTTTTTTCACACAATCAGCTGGAGTACTCTACAATAAGACAAAGCATGCCCAGGGTTAGCCCTACTACAATTATAAGCATGGGAGAACACAATATAACAGCAGGCAAGACTCAAGACACAACTTTGAAGTAATATGAATTATGAAGACACTCTTGATCAAGCAATTACCTTGTCCGATGACTAGCACTTCTGGGGATCACTATATTGCAACTCCCTCAACCTACAGGGGTGCATAACACGTACACACGCACACACACACACACATACACGCATGCGTGCACACACACACACACACACACACACACACACACACACACACACACACACACACACATGCACATACTCTCGCTCAAGTCATTGTGCATGTGCAAAATACGCAAACTCAGATTGCACAGTCCAGATAGGGGATAGGGGTTAGGAGACCAATGCAACTAATCTTTTTTCAAACTCTCTTCCTGTACGCACAAATCTGGTTTGTAAAGATGAATGCATGAATGCACTTGTGTGCGGGCATCTGGAAAGGGGTCAGCTATATTCAACATACTCCTAAGCAGGTTGTGTCAATCAGTTGAAAGGCCTTACAGCTGTTTGTATTCGTAATGCATAAGCCACAAACCCACAGAGGAGACACCACCACAGCAGCAACACTTACTCAGTCCCTGGGCTATGCTGGAAACCTTCCTCGTTAGTGTCAAATCCTTCCTCGTATGTCATGCGGCGGTAGAAGCGCTCCAGGCACGTGCCCATGATGATGGCAGGGACGAAGAAAAAGCATGCCCAGCCACAGGATAGCCAGAAACCATTCTGCACACGGTGGTGAGCGCAGCAAAGCATACACAGGGGAGTCAGGGATGACTTTTGACTACATGTACTTCAGTAGTTTTCACTTACTAACTGTTTAGACCACAAAGGCACACAATGAAAACCTTGGCAAATTTATTCCGTTGTGACTCAGAGTTTCATGGCTGAACCAATTATCAGACAACGTTGTCTGATGATTGGTTCAGCCATGAAACTCTGAGTCACAACGGAATAAATTTGCCAAGGTTTTCATTGTGTGCCTTTGTGTACGCCGCTCTGCCTGAATCAGGCATTGAGCACTCTTGCAGAACCAAAGCATATTGCCTCTGTAACTGTTTAGACCATCACAATCCAAGCTGAAAGGAAAAGAATTTGTGAGGTGAGTAGCACAAAATCAGCACATTTCTCCAACCAAGGTCGAACATTTTAGGGGTGGGGTGGGGGGGGGGGCGTGCCCCCCCCCCCACCCCACGGGCTACGTGCCTGCACACACACAGACACACACACACACACACACACACAGACGCACACACACACATAGGCACACACATGGAGCTATGAAGCCGAGACCTCTGGTCGGCGGAGCTTAATGGGCCCCACCACCACACTCCATATTCACCCCAGTGTCTGGAGATAAGTGGAGTTTGTAGGAAAAAAACACACACATACCATTGTATCAACAGTGAAGTCACACAGGTAATCCACCACGCCTTCATAGATGGTGTGTACTGGTCTGCAGTTGGCAGCTTTGGTCGCGATCTGGGACAAGTGCACAACACACAACAGGACAACAATGATAAAAAATATTATCTGTAAGGCCAAACCAAAGAATGTACTTGATGATCGTCCCCGCTCGCCCCAAATTTGGGGGCCGCCTGAGAAATTTCATTGACTTTCGGAGGTACCGTCTGTACGGACGGAGATCGAGCAGTTTCACTTTTCACAGTGAAAACATGGGCGTAGGAACCGGTCCGGCAGGCCCGGCGGTCGCCGGACCAGTAATTTTCGATTTTTTTTTATTTTTTACATTTCAACCTTGTTGATGGCTTTTCGACTCTTGTATAGGTACCATGTTTTACATCGACAATGCGGTGTATCATCAGCATGCATATTCTTATTTCTCATATTATTCTGTAGCATTAAAATATGGACTTTTAGACCCAATTTTCCAGGGGAGGACCCCTGCACCCCCTCTCACAATTTTGCTGCACCAATATTAAACTGCTTCCTACGCCCCTGGAAAACTGGCGGGAACATTGATTATGGTCCCAAACTCGTACTCATTTTGAAGAATGCAACCACGTTTGGCACACTTTTCGCAAAAGTGTGCTCTGTGTCTGGAGTACAGTTTGGTTGGCATGAGGCTGCTCCATGTGCACTAGCTGTTAGATCCTGTTCTAGATCGTACCAACAAAACACGCCCTCAGTGATCAAGCAATAATGCATAAAAAATAAAAATATAATCCGCCCGCCCTCCCCATTTTTCTGAAAATAAGGACGCTCATGAAGTATATTCTTTGACTTAGCTTAACATCCAGACTTGTCATACAGTATCAACATTTTTTCTCACTGACTTTTATGTTGGTAGTTGCACGGATGGGGACTCACTGGCTAAAACAGCTAGCTGTCTGGCAGTGTCTGCAGCAGCAGCAGCAGCAGTAGCATCAGTCAAGATCATGTGTATGTGTACAGCTAGTGGTCTACAATTCAGCACCAGTATATGTGTGTATTCTTCATTAGTGCAAAGGAGTTGGAAGGGGATCAAGTCAGGAGAAGAAATTGCTAGTCTTGAAAGGGCCTCAAAGCAGCAACCTTCACAATAGGCGATGCTCTATCACTGAGTTAGGTGTGTGGTCATCATGCCAGCATGCCAGCAGGGACGGGTCAACAACTTACGTGTTCTTCAGACTTGGAAACTCAAATCATGCATGTATGTGCAGTGCATATAGCCATGGAACACTTTCCTGTTGCACTTCAGGGTACTAGTAACTTGACTAAAGTTTGAGCAGACATGACATGAAGGGAAACCTACTGCTAGGGCAGTACAGTACCATGCACAGTTCATGCTTACGAAATTCTGAGCAAAGGTGAAGAACGTTGTGATCCAGGACTTCAGGCGATCACCATACTTTCTTACAGTCTAGACAAAGCCGGGCAGAAGGGACACGTCAGGTGTGCATATACACACAGAGTAGAGGAAAAGAAGTGAAGACTGAGAGACACATACATCAGCCTTTCAGGGCACTGTGTATTACTGGATGCGTGGCATATGAATTCCTTGATTTTTCCTATCTCTCCCGACTCTCCACTCTTCTGTCTCTCTTCTGTCTCTCCACTCTTCTGTCTCTCTTCTGTCTCTGTCTCTGTCTCTGTCTCTGTCTCTCTCTCTCTCTCTCTCTCTCTCTCTCTCTCTCTCTCTCTCTCTCTCTCTCTCTCTCTCTCTCTCTCTCTCTCTCTCTCTACCGATCTATCTATCTCTTTTTTGGGTCAATTCTGGGGTGTGAGGGAAACGGTGCAGTAAGAGCCAGCCATACCGAAAGGCACCACCGCCAAAGGAAGATAGCCAGGCGGAAGGCAGACCCAATGAAGGAGGAAGAAGCCAGCACTGTCATAAATACACTGCATGAATAGTATGCTTCAATGGCACATAGGTCAACAGAATTGTGCTGAGGGTGCCGTAACTGCTCACCCTGTTGCCAAAGCTGAGAGTGAAGTCCTTGATTGTAGCAGTCAAGTTATCGGCGTTTGTAAGTACAGACGAGATGGTGTTCTGAGGGTTGAACACACACACACACACACACACACACACACACACACACACACACACACACACACACACATGTGCACACATGTGCACACACACACACACAAACACACACACACACAGACATACACACACACACACACACACACACACACACACACACACACACACACACAGACATACACCACACGTGTACACACACATACACGCACACACATACAATACCATTTTTGGCTTGGCATGCTTTGTGGCACGAACACAGTAGTTATCTGGGGACAGGGACAGGGCGCGCAACAAGTAATCCAAATGCAGCCACAATCTATTCAAAATGGATGTTCATATGCCTGAGTGTTGAAATAGATAGATCAGAATTAATTCCATCAGGTCTGGTACCAGACCAGTCAGAATGGGAAGAAACACTGTACCGAGAGAGTCGACGAGATATTCTGCAATGTGTCTACATCCCTGGCCAGTAGCGTCTGTTTGCAGCAAGCGGCACAAAACACAAGATGCACAGCAAGGGTAGCAATAATCAACCTACAGGCACAGTCCATCATACACTGTCAACTACTACATGTAGCAACTTAGCCCCCTGGTTAGAAGTAGGCCTTTTAGGTTTTATGCATCAACGTCAATTCAAAACGCATGGGTTGACATAGAATCGGGATTCGACTTGAAATCAGGAAGTTAGTTTTCCCTGTCAGTAGTGCGAGTAAGTTACATTGTAGTGTACCAGTATGGATGCTGGTATGGTGCTGGTATGGTGCTGGTATGGTGCTGGTATGGTGCTGGTATGGTGCTGGTATGGTGCTGGTATGGTGCTGGTATGGTGCTGGTATGGTGCTGGTATGGTGCTGGTATGGTGCTGGTATGGTGCTGGTATGGATGCTGGTATGGTGCTGGTATGGTGCTTCTTGCTATCCACCATGCAGAGCATGCACCTGGCAAAACCGTGCACAGGAGGTGCAGCTCTGAGCTGATATCCACAACCCATTAGCTCTGCAGGATGCAGATGTTAGCACACGAACCGAGTATGGACACCGATGTGACAACAACAACAACAACAACAACAACAACAACAACAACAACAACAACAACAACAACAACAACAACAACAACAACAACAACAACAACAACAAGTAGTCATTAACCCCTAGGCCCTGCCCACCCAATTCTTCCTCACTCTTTCTCCTTTCTTACACTATTATCTCTTATTGGCCACTGGCTATCGTGAGAATAAAGATTTGAAACAACAACAATAGCAACAACAACAACAATAGCAACAATAGCAACAACAACAGCAACAACAGCAACAGCAACAGCAACAACAACAGGAGCAACAACATCTCGCTCATAGGTCACTCCGCAGCTCCTGACTGACATCAAACTCAAGCGCACACTGTACAGACAATACCTCAAGTCCTGCACCAACGGCAACTGGACTGCTTGTACTCCCCACACAACAAGGTTACCACTTACCGACATGATACGTCGCGCCAAACCCCATTTTCTGCAAGATGCTGCTGATGGTCCCAGCCATAGCAGAACTCATTCATATACCCTTGTTAGATGCATAGAAAGCTCACCCTCAAAGCCCATGCCGAACCTAACTGTTGAAGACCAATCCATCACAGATGCGAAGCAAAAGACATCCATCCATCCTCAATGAACTCTTCATCAGTCAAACATTCGCCAATGGCACAGCAACGAAGACTTGGCTATAATGACATCAAAACCCGTGTCCTGAAAGGAGCAGCACTAGAGCTAGCTCCTCTCTCTGTGTGCTGTGCCCTGTTCAATGCCTCCTTCTAGTACGGTATCCTCCCACAAGCGTGGAAAGATGCAACAATTTCCCCTCTCTATAAAGAGGGAAATCCTCATTTACCCAACAACCACCGACCCATCGGCTTCCTCAGTGTGGTTTCGAAAGTGTGCGAATGGATAGCGCACAAGTGTCTGTAACATACGCCCAGTTGGAGCCCTACCTTCATCAACAGCAGTCAGGATTTCGGCGAGGAGATGGCACAGAGTTGCAGCTTTCCAGAATCATTGACGAGCTCTCTGCCAAGCAGGACAATGGTGAGTCAGTAGTTGCCTGGTTTTTTCCAATCTCAGCAAGGCATTCGACCGAGTTTGGCATGCTAGTCTCATGGCAAAGCTGAAGCACTGTGGTGTCACTGATGCTGCCCCCTCTTGGTTCCTTGCGTACCTTAGCGGCCGAAAGTGCGAGTGGAAGCTTCTACATCTGAGTGGCTACCCATCCCTGCTGGAGTCCCCCCAGGCTCAGTACTGGGGCCTCTTCTCTTCCTTGCCTACACAGTTGACCTGCCAGTAATGCAGTATGGCCTGTGAAACTGACTCCACCACCAGCAGCCTGTTCAGTGCAGACAATACTGCCCTTGTCGCCTCCCACAAGTCATACCAATCGGCGCTCAGCCAACTGCAACTCTCAGTATGTGCTGCCGGGGAGTGGATAACCGCATGGCACCTGTTAGTGAACACTGATAACACCATTGTCATCTAATCGTCCACCACCCTTGCAACCCACCATTATCATGTACAAGCAAACCCAGTTCACAATCAGCGACATCTAGGCATCGTAACACTCCTTGCTATCACGGAGTGTGGCTGGTGAACTGTTTGTGCTGTCACCTGCAAGGGTAGTGTGGTCTCATGGGGTCAAGTGGAAGCCCTATTACTACTGTGAATTGACGACCTATTGGAGATGGCAACAAAGAATTATGACTTCCCCTGGACCAGGACACCTGCCATTGATCGAAGAAGGATGTGATCTGCTGCTCGGAATACACGTGTTGGACGCCAACCCTGCATTGAAGACTTGGATGGATACGTTGCTTCAGCAGCACACAGTTCTCGACTATGTCACACCCCAGCAGCCTTCCTTTCACCTACCGTCGGCTGAATTTTCAATTTCCGAGGTACGTGAAGTATTTGTCTTGTGTAGTTAGCAATCTTCAGATGTGACGTTTGACGTCCAGTTTGTCCAATATGATGATTGGTCGGCTTTCAC